TTGAGGAGTGGGGCGAGGGGAGAGGGAGGACCAGCCGGGGGGGGTGCCGGTGTTGCCGCGGGCAAACCACTCATCACTGAGCGCTTTGAAGCAAGAATCAGTGGCATGAGTGGTCTGGCCGTAGCGCTAACCCCGCGCGGGGCCATAGCGAGGGAGATACTGACAAGGAGGAAAGGCGGCTGCTGCACCACGTCCTGCGCCATTGCCACCACGACCCGCACCACCACCACGACCAGCACCCCACCCCCACGCCCTCCCCTGGTGTTGCGCTGCTGAGCAACAGCGGCAGTTGAGGAGGAATGGCGCAAGAGGTTGGCCTCGGTGGTGATAATCCACTGGGCGACTTCAGCCCGGGTGATGCGCTTGTCGATCAGCTGCATGTAGGCGATCTTATGGGTGTCGAAGGCAGGAGTCAAGCCTTCAAGGATGTGGCAGCAGAGCACTGGGTCCGGGTACGGCACGCCAAGAGCCGCCAGGCGCCGAGCGAGGTCGAGGACGCGACGCGTGAAGGCAGCTGCGCCGGTGGTAGAGTCCATGGTGAGGCTCTGGAACTCTTTGATGAGGGAGTAGAGGGTGGCGACGTCCTGCCGATCATAGAGATCGGTGAGGAGCCGCCAGAGGTGGGAGGAGGAGGTGGGAGCAAGCTCGCGCTTGAGGGTGGGAGGAATGGTGGCGAGGAGGATGGTGAGCGCGCGGCGGTCAGCGACACGCCAGGCGGCAAGGTCGGTGATGTATGCGCGCTCGCGCCTGACGTACTCCGCGAGCGCCGCCTGATACGTGTTGTAGGCGGCAGTGGCGGCGTCATGCTCGGCGCGGAAAGCCTCGAAGAGCAGCTGCTGGCGGACGTGGTCGGTGAGGCCGGCACAGTAGGTGCGGATGGCGGTCTCGAAGCTCTGAGGGTCGTTGACGTCAGGGGCGAAGGTTGGAGGATCGCCGGGGCTAACGGGAGCATCGCCAGGAGGAGGAGGTGCAGGGCCTACGGGAGCATCCGGCTGGGCAGGCTGAAGACCGCGCTCCTCGAGATGGACAACGGCTTTCAGGTTGTAGCCGTTGACCGTCACCGAGGAGAGAAGCACCGTGACGGTTTGGGCATAGGAATGCCAAATGACTGCGGTGCTCTCGGGCAGCAGCTCAAGAGCGTCGACGGAGGTAAGGTCCACCGAGGAATCGGACGCCATTGAGGAGGAGGAGGGGAAGGAAGGGGGGGGAGGAGGAAAAGGAAAGGAGGAGGAGAAGGATAGGTGCGCGGAGCGCAGCTCTTAAGTCGCCGGAGGCGACGCGCTCCGAGGAGGATGCGGCGACCGGCTGCACGCCGAAATGGCGCGACGAACGGGTGTACGCGACGGCGGAATCGACGACGGGCGGGCGCACGCGGCGGACAAATCGTCCGATAGCCGTGCGCGCGCGACGGCAGAAAGGCGACGGGCGCGGAGAGTACGGGCGCAACGGGAGGATTTGTCGACGTGCGTGCGCGGGAGCCGTGACAGACGAGCGCGCGGAAAGCGCGACGGAGAGGGCGCGACGACGGGCCGCGCAACGGAGGAGCGCACCAACGGGCGCAGTAGGAGGATGCGACGAGCAGAAGCGCGTCGTCAGGCGCGACGGGAGGCGCACGACGAAAGGGAGAGCGGGCGCGGCAAAAGGCGCGCGACGGGAGGAAGAGCGGGCGCGACGGAATAGCGCGGCGGGAGAGGGCGCACGAGGGGCGCGGGAAGTAGCCTAAGGAAGGGCTAGGCTTCGAAGACGAGGAGGGACGGCATAGGGCCATGCTAGTTAGGATCGACTAGAGGTGGCGTGAGCCATTGTGGCTCTGAATACAATGAAGGAACTAGCTTGGAAGAGAAAAGATTGAATTGAGTAGGGAGCCAAGAAGCTCTTTTCTACAAAACAAGGAGTAAGGAAGAGTTGGAAGGGAAGCTCTCCTATTGGCCATAAAGTGGACCAATGGGAGAGGTTGCTTGTAGGGCAAGCAACCACAAAGTGTGGTGCTCTTTGATTGGCCACAATGTGGACCAATGAGAGAGATTGCTTGGAAGGCAAGCAACCACAAAGTGTGGTGCTTGGTGATTGGTTGGTTCCTAGGACCAAGGACCATTTGGTTGGAATAGTGCCAACCAAATGTCTAGGACCAAATCCAAACTTGACCAACCCAAATGTGGGGTTGGTCAACCCAACCAACAACCCCCCAATAATTATAATGACTACACCTCCTAATCTAGGCATGCATGTTGTATAGATATATATAGTTTACAACAAACGGTACTGAGTACGTTGCATAACTGAATCCAGAAGTGATTGCTACTCTCACTAATAAGGCCTTATTATACCATAGAGTTCTTATGGTATCGATGGAGTATAACGATAATGTTTCTTTGATATAATACTTCTTTTGGCATCATACCGCAAGCCACACATACCGCCATGTGCAAGCCACACGGGTGAGAAAACATGAAATTAGGAAGTTGATTAGGAAGGAGAGCAAACAGGCTTACATAGGAATGAGAAGGAAAGGAGAAGGGGGAGGGAGGGGGGGTTGCTGGTTGGGTCGCTATGCCAACATCATTGTCCCCACCAATGAGGTGGGTTGACCGACTTATTGGTAACCCCAATAATGTCGGCTTGAGCGGCCAGAATTATTGGGGGGGGGTCAATAATTGGGAACCCAACCTGTTGGGGGCCAATGACGGTAAGGATGGGAACCCAACTTTGGGAACCCAATCCCAACTAGGGTGGTTAACCCTAGTTTAAACCCAACACTACTCAAACCCGTTATATCTATCCAAACAATCTAGTCTATGCAGGATAAGAATAGAGAGATATTCTAACAACACATACCGTCATGTGCAAGCCACACATACCACCATGTGCAAGCCACACATATCGCCATGTGCAAGCCACGCATACTGCCATGTGCAAGCCATACATACCGCCATGTGCAAGCCACACATACCGCCATGTGCAAGCCACACATACCACCATGTGCAAGCCACGCATACCGCCATGTGCAAGCCACACATACCGCCATGTGCAAGCCACACATACCGCCATGTGGAAGCCACACATACCGCCATGTGCGAGCCACACATACCGCCATGTGCGAGCCACACATACCGCCATGTGCAAGCCACACATACCGCCATGTGCAAGCCACACATATCGCCATGTGCGAGCCACACATACCACCATGTGCAAGCCACACATACCGGCATGTGCAAGCCACACATACCGCCATGTGCAAGCCACACATATCGCCATGTGCAAGCCACACATACCGCCATGTGCAAGCCACACATACCGCCATGTGTAGGCCACACATACCGCCATCTGCAAGCCACACATACCGCCATGTGCAAGCCACACATACCGCCATGTGCCAGCCACACATACCACCATGTGCAAGCCACACATACCGCCATGTGCAAGCCACACATTCCGCCATGTGCAAGCCTCACATACCGCCATGTGCAAGCCACACATATCGCCATGTGCAAGCCACACATATCGCCATGTGCAAGCCACACATATCGCCATGTGCAAGCCACACATTCCGCCATGTGCAAGCCACACATACCGCCATGTGCAAGCCACACATACCGCCATGTGCAAGCCACACATACCGCCATATGCGAGCCACACATACCGCCATGTGCAAGCCACACATACCGCCATGTGCAAGCCACACATACCGCCATGTGCAAGCCACACATACCGCCATGTGCAAGCCACACATACCGCCATGTGCGAGCCACGCATACCGCCATGTGCAAGCCACGCATACCGCCATGCGCAAGCCACACATACCGCCATGCGCAAGCCCCACATACCGCCATGCGCAAGCCACACATACCGCCATGTGCAAGCTACACATACCGCCATGTGCAAGCCACACATACCGCCATGTGCAAGCCACACATACCGCCATGTGCAAGCCACACATACCACCATGTGCAAGCCACACATACCGCCATGTGCAAGCCACACATACCGCCATGTGCAAGTCACACATACCGCCATGTGCAAGCCACACATACCGCCATGTGCAAGCCACACATACCGCCATGTGCAAGCCACACATACCGCCATGTGCAAGCCACACATACCGCCATGTGCAAGCCACACATACCGCCATGTGCAAGCCACACATACCGCCATGTGCAAGCCACACATTCTGCCATGTGCGAGCCACGCATACCGCCATGTGCAAGCCATGCATACTGCCATGTGCAAGCCACACATACCGCCATGTGCAAGCCACACATACCGCCTTGTGCAAGCCACACATACCGCCATGTGCAAGCCACACATATCTCCATGTGCAAGCCACACATATCGCCATGTGCAAGCCACACATTCCGCCATGTGCAAGCCACACATACCGCCATGTGCAAGACACACATACCGCCATGTGCGAGCCTCACATACCGCCATGTGTGAGCCACACATACCGCCATGTGCGAGCCACACATACCGCCATGTGCAAGCCACACATACCGCCATGTGCAAGCCACACCTACCGCCATCTGCAAGCCACACATACCGCCATGTGCAAGCCACACATACGGCCATGTGCAAGCCACAGATACCGCCATGTGCAAGCCACACATACTGCCATGTGCGAGCCACGCATACCGCCATGTGCAAGCCATGCATACTGCCATGTGCGAGCCACACATACCACCGCCATGTGCGAGCCACACATACGGCCATGTGCGAGCCACGCATACCGCCATGTGCAAACCACACATACCGCCATGTGCGAGGGACACATACCGCCATGTGCGAGCCATACATATCGCCATGTGCGAGCCACACATACCGCCATGTGCGAGCCACACATACAGCCATGTGCAAGCCACACATACAGCCATGTGCAAGCCACACATATTGCCATGTGCGAGCCATGCATACCGCCATGTGCAAGCCACACATACCGCCATGTGCGAGCCATACATACAGTCATGTGCGAGCCACGCATACCGCCATGTGCAAGCCACACATACCGCCATGTGCGAGCCATAGGTGGTGGCGGCGTTGACAGCAGCAGCATCAGCGGCAGCAGCGGTGCGGCGGTGGAAGAAACGCAGCAGGCGGAGCGAGGGCAGGTGGCCCGTGCCCGCCATCACCTGGGGGGGAGGGGAGACGGGAGATGGGAGAAGAGGAAAGTGGTTCGGAAAAGAAGCCGAAGGAAGAAACAAATGGAAGAAGGAAGGGGAGACAGGGCAGACGCAGGCGGTTGGTGATGAGAGGGAGAGTGGGTTGGGAAGGGCCCAAGGTACCAGGGAGAGCGAGAGCACGGCGGTGTTGACAGCGGTGTCGAGGGTGCGCGAGTCCAGCAACGGCAGCCACTGCTGCAGCGCCGAGGCGAAGGGGCCGGACGGGGCAGGCAGGGGCCGACGCTGCATGAGGAGAGAGGTGGGGCGAGAATGATGGGGGGGGCGGGGGGGGGGGGGGGAAGGAGAGATTGAGAGCTGGCACCAGCGAGCTAGAAGATTACGCAGCGTTGCTGGTGACTTGTCACCACCGAACCATCATGACCGAGCCGTCACCAACCAAACCGTAACCCCACCACTCAACAAATATGGTCGTTGAAAGAACACCCTGTCCAGTGCAGCCGTCTCACTGCCTTCACAGTAATCCCCCACCTCTCTGAGGAAGAAGAAGAGCAGTGCATAGCTTCTGAGCAGCTTCTCTGCATCAGAATTGGCCGAACCGGCATAGCGCAGCCCTGCAGGGCGAAGAGGGGGGAGGAGGGGGAAGGGAGGAAGGGAGGATGGGAAGAAGGGAGGAAGGGAGGAAGGGAAGAAGGGAGGAAGGGGGGAGGGGAGGAAGGGAGGAAGGGGGACAAGAAGCATGATGTTTAAGAAAACAAGAAAGAAGCATGAAGCAGAGGGCTGGAGGACGGGGGCACGATGAAAGCGAGGGGGTTGAAGCAGGAGGAACACAGGCGCGGTGGTGGAAGAACAGCAGGTTCACCAGGCGCATGCCAAGCCAATAACGCCTCGCTTTCTCTGTACGCGCTACAGCATCTCACCCAGCGCCAGGCAGCATCTCACCCACCGCCAGGCAGCGCCTCACCCAGCGCCAGGCAGCATCTCACCCACCGCCAGGCAGCATCTCACCCAGCGCCAGGCAGCATCTCACCCACCGCCAGGCAGCACCTCACTCACCCAGCGCCAGGCAGCATCCCGCCAGCAGGTTGCAGAGCGCCAGAGCCATCGCCTCCTCATCCACGTCCGCCTCGCCCTCCATGCCGCCCTCCATGCCGCCCTCCGCTCGTTCCCGCCCCACACCCCTCCCCCCCTCATTCTCCCCCCCCCAACCCCCTTCCGCCTTCCCCCCCCCGGCAGCAGCAGCGGCGCGGATGATGGCGGGCACCTGCGCTGATACCCACGCCTGCGAGGGCACGACGCTGGGGTGGGGTGGCGCGAGGGGATAGGGGGGGCGTGGGATCACAGGTCGAGCAGGGTTGAGGGATTGTCCTGGGAATGGAGTTGGGAATAAAACGAGTGGAGGGTGGAGCGGGAGGCAGGCATGGGTGGAATGACGGCCAAGGAACGAGCGGACACGGGGTGAGGAACGGCTGGAATCGGGGGGACGAAGGACAGGTGCCAGGGAGTGAAGGGTGGAGTAAGCGGAAGAGAATTTGGAGTGGGATGAGGAGCACGTTGGTAGACACCAGATGCACCTATCCCAGAGGATGAGGTCGCACCTGTCCCAGAGGGTGAGGTCGCACCTGCCCCAGAGGATGAGGTCGCACTTGTCCCAGAGGATGAGGTCGCACCTGTCCCAGAGGATGAGGTCGCACCTGTCCCAGAGGATGAGGTCGCACCTGTCCCAGAGGATGAGGTCGCACCTGTCCCAGAGAATGAGGTCGCACCTGTCCCAGAGGATGAGGTGTTGTAAAATATATATCTATACAACATGCATGCCTAGATTAGGAGGTGTAGTCATTATAATTATTGGGGTGTTGTTGGTTGGGTTGACCAACCTCACATTTGGGTGCCACATGATTGGATTTGGTCCTAGACATTTGGTTGGCACTATTCCAACCAGATGGTCCTTGGTCCTAAGAACCAACCAATCACCAAGCACCACACTTTGTGGTTGCTTGCCTTCCAAGCAACCTCTCCCATTGGTCCACATTGTGCCCAATAGGAGAGCACCGCACTTTGTGGTTGCTTGTCCTCCAAGCTACCTCTCTCATTGGTCCACATTGTGGCCAATAGGAAGAGCTTCCCCTCAACCTCTTCCTTGCTCCTTGTTTGTACAATAGAGCCTCTTGGCTCCCTCCTCAATTATTCCTTTCTCCTCAGAGCTAGTTCCTTCATGAGGTCGCACCTGCCCCAGAGGATGAGGTCGCACCTGCCCCAGAGGATGAGGTCGCACCTGCCCCAGAGGATGAGGTCGCACCTGTCCCAGAGGATGAGGTCGCACCTGTCCAAGAGGATGAGGTCGCACCTGTCCTTGAGGATGAGGTCGCACCTGTCCCAGAGGATGAGGTCGCACCTGTCCCAGAGGATGAGGTCGCACCTGTCCCAGAGGATGAGGTCGCACCTTTCCCAGAGGATGAGGTCGCACCTGTCCCAGAGGATGAGGGAGCGCGCTAGCAGGCGCAGCAGGATGAAGTCGGGCCGCACCAGCTCCAGCGCAAAGTGCGTCGCGGGGGGCGCCAGGCGCGCCGCCACCGCCTCGTTGTTGGACTGGGGGGAGGGGGGTGGCAGGGAGTGCGGGACGGGGGACAAAGGGGAGGTGGAGGGCTAATGGGGAGGGGAGATGGCTGTACTTGGAAATGGAAATGAGTAAGCAGGGAAGCCACGCCACTACATGGTCAACGTGAGTGTGCTAGACTTCCACCTGAAAATACCTGAGCCCACCTGAAGGCACCTGAGCCCACCTGAAGATACCTAAGCACACTCAGGTGCCTTCAGGTGGGCTCAGGTATTTTCAGGTGTGTAACAGTGGTGCCTTCATGCGGAAGGGAGGTGGCGAGACAAATTAGGTATGAGGAGATGGGCGATGGGGAGGAAGGGGGTTGGTTGTGCGCGTTACTTTTGTGGGAAGTGGGTGGGTGTTTCGTGCGTTGACTGGCAACAGTTGGACGACGGCCAAGTCAACGTTGCCACCTCGCCACCCAGTTTCGTTAGTCCCTCGCTATGAAATTACGAAATTGGGACGAATGTCGCAAATTGGGGATCGGCCAATCGTTGGCCACCGAATTTCTGCACATTCGTCGCAACAGCAATCCACGCGCTTTCGCGTGGATCTTCGACCAGGTGGGTTGTGAGGAACTTCTCAAATTGCGGCTCGTCGTAATCAGCGCACCTCTTGAATTTTCGATCGCTACTTAAAACGGCAGAAACTTGGGTAATTTTCAGCGGAATTTTCTGCCGTCTAGCTCTCCAAGAACACACCCTTTTTAGTTTCCTTCTCTACCATTTTGCTAATGGAGCAGAACGCCGAGCACGCTATTTGGCGTTATTTTGAAGTTCCCGAAGGCGGGAAGTCAGATTCTAAGATTCCTAAGACTTGCGTTTTTTGCCGCGGGAAGTAGACATGGGCACTAGCCGAGCCACATCCGGCTCGGCTCAGCTCGGCTCGCTAAAATGACGAGCCGAGCCTTTCTTTTCGGGATCTGGCTCGACTCGAGCCGAGCCGGCTCGGCTCGGTCGAGCCAGCCGGCTCGACTCGGCTCGTACACAATGTCCTCGTCGAGCCGGGGTCGAGCCGGCTCGTCCCCGGCTCGATTTCGAGCCAGGTGGCTCGCCACTCGATTTCAAGGGTAAATTTCCCCCTCGACAAACGTGTCTCCCGTTTCTCTCTCCCGCCAACAACTCCTAGTCTATGTTCCCGAAATCGCTCTGGCGGTGCAGCGTTTATCGTTTAAACGCTGCGTTTAAAGGGTAAACGCTAAACGCTCGCCCAAAATGTTTGACGCGGAATTGTTTCTCGCGACATTGCGACCTCGCGAATTCAACCAGTCGCAACCCCGAACTTTGATGACCAAAAACACATCCAACCCTTTTGCCCCGCTCAACCGCACTGCACACTACCGCATCTAAAACTTCCAACATAACCTCTTGCACCCTCCTTCCTCCTCACAATCCACTTCCCGTCAATTTCGCGAACCCTAGAATTCTGCGCGCCTAGGAGTATCTCATTAGGTTAGTTCGCGCGAGAAATCTTAAGCAGCCCACGCCACTCTTAACAACGCGCGCTTGCATAGGCTCCACCCACACTACTGTTGGCTTAAGCGCATGCTAGGCGAGTCGAGCCGAGCCGGCTCGTGTCGAGCCAACCCTGGCTCGCCCACAGAAATGCAAGCCGAGCCAGGCATGTTTGGTGCCCGGCTCGACTCGAGCCGAGCCAGGCTCGACGGCGAGCCGGCTCGGCTCGACCCCTGGACGAGCCGAGCCGAGCCAGGCTCGGCTCATGCCCATATCTGGCGGGAAGTGGCCGCTCAATGTGAGCCGTGCGCAGTCCCATCTTCTTGGATCAGGTGGCGGAATTGCGGCATGCAGGAAAATAACCCCCGAGGCGAAAACTCTTGTTCGTAATTATGCCGCGACCAAAATGTGGGAGAACGAGTTGCGTAGGGGAGCTACGCAACGCACAATGCGCGCGTTCGGCGGGGGGGATGACGATGGCAGTGGGGAAGGAGACTCCGGTGCAGGCTCGTGCACAGTGGCGCGCAAGCGTCAAACGACGCAGCGAACCCTCACCGACAATCGCCCTACGTCGACCGACGTGGCGAAGGCGCAGCAGGCGGTCGCCACGTTCTTCCACATCTGTCGCATTCCTCCCAATGTTGCAGAGCACGAGGGCTTCAAGAACATGGTCAAGATGGTTACGACTGCAGGTCCGAATTTCACGCCGCCCGGCCGCAAGTTGATAATGGGACGCCTTTTGGAAGAGTGCAAGACGAACACTGACAACGCGTTGAAATCGGTCAAAGAATCTTGGATCAAGGTGGGCGTGTGCATCGCGAGTGATGGGTGGACGGACGGTGTCGACCGTCCACAACTCAACTTCTTGGTGGTCAACACGTACGCATCGATCTTTCTCTTCGGCGTGGACTGCGGCACGGAAATCAAGTCCGGAGCGTTCATTGCCGGGCACCTTAAGGCAGTGATCGAGATGGTCGGCAGCGAAAACGTCGTGGGGCTTCTCATGGACGGCGCGAGCAACAACATCAGTGCGGCAACGATCATCAAGGCCGTATACCCAAAAGTGGAGTACATCCGTTGCGTTGCGCACTCACTCAACAATCTCATGAAAGACATCGGCGGCCAAGGTTGGGCAGTGCCTACTATCGAGGACGCGCAGCGGTTGATCTCGACATTGAAGAATGCTCAGTGGATGACGGGTCGCTTGCGTGAGCAAAAGTCCCTCGTCTTACTGAAGCCTGCGGGAACACGTTTCGGTACGAACTTCATTGCGCTGGAACGCCTTGTCGAAGTGCGCGAGGTGTTGAACAAGATAATGGGGACGAAGGGGTGGAGCGATTTTGTCGCGAAGAAGGAGAAGATGACGTGGGCGAAAGAAAAAGTTAAGGATAACGAGTTCTGGAAGGGAGTTGCGCGGGTGGTGAAGGTGTTGGAGCCGGTGTACAAACTACTGAGGGAAGTTGACGGGAACCAGGAGGTCATGGGGCTGATTTATGAGAAGATGCTGGATCTCGAGGAGTCAGTCATTGCGGCATGTGGCGATCTCCGGGTGGGGGAGAAGAAAGCCATTGCCAAGGCAGTGCGCAACAGGTGGAATGACAACATCAACTGTGCGCTTCACATCGTTGGGCGGATTTTGTATCCCCCCAACCAGTTTGCTGAAATTTTTGGCCCGGACAACGAGTGCAGCAACATCTTTACTGAATTCGTCAGAGAATACTATGACGGCGAGGAGATCATCGATGCGGAGGGTGATTCCAAGCCCCTGGCCACTATTGTTGAGGAGGAGCTTGAGATTTACCTCCAGGGCACAGGGAAAATCGGCGATGAAAAGGCACGTAAAGAGAGTAATCTCATTAAAAAAGGGAAGTTGGACCCAGTGCATTGGTGGCGGTTCAATGGTAGTGATTGCCCTCACCTCGCCAAGCTTGCTTGTAGAGTCCTCAAACAATGTGTCTCTGCATCCACATGCGAGACCAACTGGTCCGCTTGGGAATCGGTCCATGCCGTGCGCCGCAATCGTCTTGGGCCGAAACGACTCGCGGACCTAGTCTATGTCACGAGCAACTACAACACGGTGCGAAAGTTGCATGCGCATTTTGCGAAGAACAGGATGGTCAGTGGCACCATAGTAACCCAGGGAGAGGAGGAGCTCGATGATTACGAGCCCTTGGATGACGACGACTTGGAGGATTGTTGCTATGTTGACGCGCAGGATGATGTGCCAAGTGACTAGACGTGAAGGGTAATCTATGTATGTCACCATAGTTTTGGTCAATATTTTTTTGAGGAACTTTTTGCATGTCGGAACACCTTTTTAAGTTGCTGCAGTGTTCCACAAGCCTACTTGGGGACCTCCTATACCTAGGGCAGCCCAAAAAAGTTTAGCCTGCCCGGAAACGTAAACTCATTTCGTGAGCCCAAACGTACGCGTAAACGTAACACGTAAACGTACGAAAACGTAATTGACCAACTAAGCCTGAAGGCACCTGAGCCCATGTGAAGGCACTTGAGCCCACCTGAAGATACCTGAGCCCACCTGAAGGCACCTGAACCCACGTGAAGGAACCTGAGCCTAGGCTTGAGCAAAATACCCGCCCGAGTCAGATACTCGGACCCGGATCCGCTTTTTGGGCGGGTCGGGTATCCAGATTCCGGAATATTACTCGGCGGGTCGGGTCCGGGTTACCCGGGCGGGCATTCGATACCCGTTACGCAAAACGTTACCCCCCGTATCGTGTAACGGGTACCCGACCCGGTCGGGTAAATAATACCCGAGGTCGGGTATTCCACCTAGACATGGGCGTAAGTCGTGCTGTGTTTTAGGTTTTGCGGCAAAACGGTTTGGGAGGTGAGGGGGGACGAGTGGAGCATTTGTGCGGAGAAGTTGGAGTTTGTAGACGGGGAGGAGTTAAGTGCGGTGAAAGGGAGGGAGTTGGGTGGGAGTTGGAGAAAAGGTTGGAGTTTGTAGATGGGTAGGAGTTCAGTGCAGTGAAAGGGAGGGAGTTTGGTCGGAAATGTTGGAGTTTCTAGACAGGGAGGAGTTTAGTGCGGTGAAAGGGAGGGAGTTTGGTTGGAAATTGGAGTTTGTAGACGGGGAGGAGTTCAGTGCGGTGAAAGGGAGGGAGTTGGGTGGTCAAAATTCGACCCCCAGAAAACGCGACTCTCATTTGAGAGTCGCGTTTTCAGAAACCCTACCTAGCCTAGCCCGTTTTTAGGATGCCCACTAGTAGGTGGCGCGTAGTAATACCCACTTTTCAGGGTAACCGGGTCGGGTATGCCCGGACCCGCCAGGCGGGTATTGTATTACCTGTCCCCTAAGGCCGGGTCCGGGTAAGGGTCCTGGGCATATTACCAGACCCAGATCCGACCCGAAAATACCCGACCCCAGGTCGGGCATTGCAAAACCGGGTCAGGTCGGGTAATTACCCGGTTTTGCTCAACCCTACCTGAGCCCACGTGAAGGCACGTGATCCCACCTGTAGGCACCTGAGCCCATCCGAAGGTACATCATCCCACCTGAAGGTACATCATCCCACCTGAAGGTACATCATCCCGAGGGCAAGAATGGCTCCTGGCGCCGTGACGTCCAAATTGGGCGTGTTGCCCTCCAGCACCTGATGGGGGTGGGGGATGGTGGCATGGCGCATGGCACATGGTGCATGCATGGCACGGGGTGAAGCGATATGCACCCATTTGAACGGCAGATGATCAAAGGCGACGTGGAGGGATACGCAGCAGCAAGAAGCACCATCGGGGGATGCAGTGAGAGATGTCCGACATGGGTGAACGCGGCAGCACAGGAGGCAGCACAGGAGGCAGCACAGGAGGCAGCACAGGAGGCAGCACAGGAGGCTGAGCGGAATGAAGTGAAGGCTTGAAACCCATGCCAAGGCGCGGAGAGTGGGTGAGCACACAGAGGATAGAGCACAGGAAGTGGGCAGCACAGAGGCGGGGCACACTGACTGACATGGCCATTGCTGCTCGCACTGCTGCCCGGCCACTGCCCCATGCCCCTCCCCTTGCCTCCCCCCCAACTCCACTCCGCCTGCCCTGATGCCCCCTGCTGCCCCTGCTGCTGCGGCCATGGGGATACACGGGGACGGGGGAGACAAGGGGACGGGGGAGACAAGGGGACGGGGGAGACAAGGGGACGGGGGAGACAAGGGGACGGGGGAGACAAGGGGACGGGGGAGGGAAGGGCAGGGGCTGCGGGAGAGTGAGTGGCAGAGGATGGAAATGAGACGAGGGGAGGGACTGGGGGAGACGGGCGAAAGTAGAGGACCAACGAAACGAATGCACAACGGGAGGATGAAGCGAGGAGGTAAAAGGCAGGCGGGGCCAGCAGGCGAGCGCACGGAGGGGTCGAGAGCGGGCGAGAAGTAGCGCTGCAGCTGGTCCTCCACCCGCAGGTCCGACAAGCCCCACGCACTGCCCGCCGTGCCTGGGGGGTGAAGGAGACAGGGGAGAATGCGAGGAAAGGGGAGGGAGTGCATGTAAGCATTTGTGCAAGTGAGGGTTGGTTGGAGACAGAAACAGGGCAAGACAAAGCATTATGCATGGCATTCCAGAAGTATCCGCGCATCGCCGTACCCAGGGTAACTAGCCCCAACGCAAGGCCAGCCGCCAGCGAGTATCCCTCCCTCTCCATGCTGCCCTCGCCCTCCGGCCTGCGCCCGATCTCATCCTGCCAGCGAGGGGAATGAGCGGACGAGGGGGAATGGAGGGCTGAGTTTGAAACACGGGAGAATGGCAAAAGAAATGAGGAGAGTGGGGACGAGGCGGGTGAGCGGAGGGAAAAAGAGGGCTGGCGTTTGGTTTGGTGGATGCTGCGGTTTGATGGATGCTGCGGTTTGGTGGATGCTGCGGTTTGATGGATGCTGCGGTTTGGTGGATGCTGCGGTTTGGTGGTGCTGCGGTTTGGTGGATGCTGCGGTTTGGTGGATGCTGCAGTTTGGTGGATGCTGCGGTTTGGTGGATGCTGCGGTTTGGTGGATGCTGCGGTTTGGTGGATGCTGCGGTTTGGTGGATGCTGCGGTTTGGTGGATGCTGCGGTTTGATGGATGCTGCAGTGAGGGCGGACCTGCTTCTACCTCGCAGCCCAGCAGCAAGTGTTAGACTAGGCTTAGGATTCTACATAGGAGCCTAAAACCCATAGTTGGTAGGTGGGAAAGTAATGACAAGGAAAAGTGTCGAGATACAGAGAAAGGGGCTGGTTGGTGTCAAACCTAGAGCCCGTCCAGTTTACGCAAGCAAGCACATCGTGCTCTCCTGTGTATGTGATAAATAGTTGGCCTGTAAATGATCAAGGGCCACTGTACATGCCAGCAGGGTTTAGGCAAACCCTAGCCTACTCCAACAGCAGGAAAATAAGCCAGCGGCAAGAGGCAGCACGCACCAGCAGTATCTCGGTGGTGAGGCGGTGAGCCGACCCCATGTACACCACACCCACGCCCAGCAGCGCTGACGTCTGCAGGGGGCGCGGGCCGGGGGAGGAGAGCGGATAAGGCGAGGCAGGTGAAGAGGGGAAAGCGAGTTGAATGTGGGAGGCGAGGCGACGGATGGGATGGGGCAGGGGAGGAAAACCGTTGGGGACTGGGGGAGAGAAGCATGAGTGGAAGTAGACTTGAGCATTTTACCCGGTCGGGTCGTGGGTACCCGATCCGACCCGACATTTTGGCCGGGTCAGGTAATAGGATTTTGACCAATTACCCGGCCGAGTCGGGTCGGGTACTCGGGCCGGGTAATGCATACCGGTTACCCGAGAATTACCCGAAATGTCGGGTAATTTATTACCCGTCGGGTCGCTCGCGTGTACCCGACCCGACTTTGGGTTTGTTACTCCGGGTTTGCTGAATTTTGCAGCCACCTAGGGGTACCCGGGTAATATTACCCGACTTCAATTAAATGCGGGTCGGGTATACCCGACCCGCCAGACGGGTTCCCAATTACCCGGCATTAATATGCCGGGTCGGGTAACAGATCTCCAAACATTACCCGGAAATTACCCGACCCGACCCGACCCGGACCCGATCGCAGGTAGGGCAAAACCGGGTCGGGTCGGGTAATTACCCGGTTTTGCTCATGTCTAAGTGGAAGGGCTGCAAGCGAACGATGGAGCCGGACGGAGTAAGGGGATGAAGGAGGCTCCAAGGGGAAGACGGCCGAAGGAGGGTTGGGAAAAAGCGGGAGAAGAACGTGGGTGGGCGGCACCTGGAAGATGGGCGGCACGGCACCTGTATGATGGGTGGCACCTGGATGATGGGCGGCACAGCACCTGGATGATGGGTGGCACCTGGATGATGGGTGGCACCTGGATGATGGGCGGCACCTGGACGATGGGCGGCACCTGGATGATGGGCGGCAGCTCGAGGTCGGGGAAGGAAGGCGGGTGGCGCGACGGGATGTGCAGATAGAGCATCTGAGGGGGGAAGGGGTGGTGGAGATAGAGAACTGAGGAGTGGTAAAATTGCTAAAATCCCACTTTCAAGGCATTTCCTTTATTTCCCAACCAGGTATCCTTGGGCAGCCATGATCTACAGTAGGCCGGAACTCTGAGCAGAGATTCGAGGGAGGAGTGGAGAGCAGAGCTCACCTTGGAGATGACAGAGTCCATAGTGCCCCGATACGACGCCGCCGCACCCAGCAGAATGCCCACCGTCGTCGCCTCGTGCTCCTGGGGGGGGGAGTAGAGATGGGCGGTTTGGCGTTGGGATGCGTGGATTAAGGTGTGTACGAAGAGAGCGAAAGACACTGCGCACAGGTGGGCACATGTCGAGAGATGTGATGGGCACAGGTGCGCGTTGATGTGGGGCAGCGCGGCGAGCGCATTGATGTGGGGCAGCACGGCGAGCGCAGAGGGCGGCACTCACGAGGGCGAGGAGGGTGAAGAGGTCGGTGGGCGCGAGCACGCGCAGGTGGCCCCTCAGCCCCAGCGCGAGCAGCATGCCGCCGTGCGCACAGGACGCCTCTGACGGCCGGTTGTACACCACCCACGCACGCGTGATGGTGCCCGGCTGGCGGGGTAAGGGGTGAGAGGCGAGAGGATGTGAATACGTGTAACACGCTTCCGTTGCAGACGGCTCGAAGACTATGGAGAGGGATGTGAAAGGCACAGGGGGGAGCGGAAAAGGTGAGTGTTGTGGAGGGCAAAAGGGCACATGGCATGCAGCAGGCAGAGGAAGATGGGCGGAAAGGAAAGGGAGCTTGAGGGATGGGAAGGGGGCAGACAGACCTGCACGGAGGCGAGCCCCGCTGCCACGCCGTTGTGGAACTCAGGCCACGTGGTCAGCTCTGATAGGTTGCCCAGCGAGCCGTCCAGCCCCACCTGGCAGGTGGAAGGCAGCAGAAGCGCATGGCTATGGGGTGCAATGCAAGCAAGTGCATCGCAAGCAAGTTCGTGGCAGACAGATCGGAGATGGAGGGAGGAGTGCGGGGAGAAGAACCGCCATATTCCCATCCCATATATCTCTGCTGCCCTGCCTCTGGCCTGCCCGCCTACCGTGGCGTCGTTCTGCGCTGTAAGCCGACCCGCCAGCACCAGCTTGGGCACTGAGAGGGCCTGGTGGGGGTGAAGGTGGCAGAGAGGCACGGACAAGGAGGCACGGGCAAGGAGGCACGGGCAAGGAGGCAGAAGAGGAGAGGGATGAAACGGAAGTGATGGGTACAGAGATGGAAGGTGGGGCAGATGGGGATGAGGAGACAAGGGAGGAAGGGAAGGATGTGTTGAGTGGAAAAACAGGGGAATGAGGGAGAATAGAAGCTAGAAGGATGCATCGAGATGCTGCAGCGGTGAGGCACGAGAGCATGCCTGGGCATGCCTGGGTCATGGCGGCTCACCTGGGTCATGCCGGCTCACCTGGGGCCGGCTCACCTGGGTCATGGCGGCTCGCCTGGGTCCTGCCGGCTCACCTGGGTCATGCCGGCTCACCTGGGTCATGCCGGCTCACCTGGGTCATGCTGGCTCACCTGGGTCATGCCGGCTCACCTGAGATGGGCAGATTAAATCGCATCGCATCGCGTTAAATCGCGTTTTTGCGATTGCTTTTTTTCTTTTTCTTTTTTAATCGCGCAATGCGATGATTTATTTATCGCGCAATGCGATGATTTATTTATCGCGCGATTTAATTTAAATCACGTTTTAATCGCGCTGAAAATCGCGATTAAATTGCGATTTGCGATTTTTTTTAAGTCGCGCGCGATGTCGAAATTCATCGCGCCGCGAAACCTCGCCAGTAGGGTTGAGCAAACTACCCGCCTGGGTCGGGTACCCGGTACCCGGACCCGCTTTTAGGGCGGGTCGGGTATCGGAAATCCTGAAAATTACCCGGCGGGTCGGGTCCGGGTTACCCGGGCCGGGTATCAATACCCGCTACCCGAAATGCTACCCGACGTGTCGGGTAACGGGTACCCGACCCGGTCGGGTAAAATATACCCGAGGTCGGGTATTCCACCTAAACATGGGCGTAAGTCGCGCTGTGTTTTAGGTTTTGAGGCAAAACGGTTTTGGAGGTGAGGGGGGACGAGTGGAGCATTTGTGAGGAGAAGTTGAGCTTGTAGATGGGGAGGAGTTAAGTGCGGTGAAAGGGAGGGAGTTGGGTGGGAGTTGGAGAAGAGGTTGGAGTTTGTAGATGGGTAGGAGTTCAGTGCGGTGAAAGGGAGGGAGTTTTGTTGGAAATGTTGGAGTTTGTAGACAGGGAGGAGTTCAGTGCGGTGAAAGGGAGGGAGTTTGGTTGGAAATTGGAGTTTGTAGACGGGGAGGAGTTCAGTGCGGTGAAAGGGAGGGAGTTGGGTGGTCAAAATTCGACCCTCAGAAAACGCGACTCTCATTTGAGAGTCGCGTTTTCAGGAACCCTACCTAGCCTAACCCAACTTTAGGATGTCTACAAGTAGGTGGCGGGTAGTATTACCCGCTTTTCAGGGTAACTGGGTCGGGTATACCCGGACCCGCCAGGCGGGTATTGTATTACCCGCCCCCTAAGGCAGGTCCGGGTAAGGGTCCTGGGCTTATTACCCGACCCGGACCCGACCCGAAATTACCCGACCCGAGGTCGGGTATTGCAAAACCGGGTCGGGTCGGGTAATTACCCGGTTTTGCTCAAGCCTACTCGCCAGCATAGGGGAAAAAAGCGCAAATCCCAAAAACGCTTTTGTGAAATTATCTTTCGGAGAATCTCCTTGGGAGTTCGTTTTTGGGCTTAGCACACACTCCCCTTGTCTCATAAACCCACCGTTCTTCACGGTTTTTGGTGGTCGAAATTAGCCTATGGAGTAGATTGAGAAACGCCGCCCCGCATTGGCTTATAGTCGAGCAAAGCTTTTCGCGCATGCCTTTGGCGCGTCGGACGGGTTTGCCTTTGGCGCTGGGATCCCGCCACGACGCACGAGCATTGCCGCGTTTTGAATCGAGTAACTTATTTAGCCGCATGCTGTAGGATTTAGGGCGCGTCGCGCCACGAGGCCGGGGCATTAAGGTTTCGGGTTTTAGTGGTGGAGCCGCTTTACGGTTTAGCAATGGGCAAGCGGGATGGAGTGGGTGCAGGGCGGGGGGGCGGTAGGAGTGGTGGTGGCGCGGGTCGCGGTGACAAGGATGAACCGGAGGCGCAAACTGGAGCGCCCGCATTGACGGGCAAGGCAGCGCGCGCGCAGCGAAGGAAGGTGATGGAGGCGGCATTCGCCAAGCTGCAAGGGATTAGGGGGGGTACCTTGCAAGGGTTGGAAGGCGGAGGAGACATGAGAGCCCCCGGCAGCGGCGGGCTTGGGACGCAGGGGAGTGGCGCGGCGGACGCTGGGGAGCTCGCCCTTGCGGGCAAGGTGTCCATTAGGGACGAGTAGGCTTGAGCAACAGGTCGGGTCGGGTCGGGTAACCCGACCCGAACCCGACTTTTTGACGGGTCGGGTCAGGTTTCCCGTCAGAAGAACCCGACCCGTCGGGTTTGATTTTTACCCATCGGGTCTGGTCAACCCGAACCCGACATGGACGGGTTCGGGTGAACCCGACCCGACTTCGGGTATACATCGTCAGGTTGACCCGACCCAACCCGACCCGAAGTCGGGCCGCGCCTCGACCCGACGCAATCTGAGCGACCTGAGTTGCGCAAAACTGGAAAGTCTGATGGTTTGGTTTGGTCGAATTTTTTACCGGATGGGCCATTTTCCATATCCTACTTAGGCTACCTCCCATTTTTACCCTGCATCCAGCTCATTCCTAACACTAATCTACTCCCCACCATGCTTGTTGGTATAGCTTAGGGTCTAAACAGACCTAGATCGATTTCTATTGGATCGACTCAACAAGAAGGAGCAGGCGGTACTGGACAAGAAGGCGGTCACAGACGTCGAGTGGGCACTCCTTGGGGAGTTGATGGCGTTCCTGGCGCTATTCAACAACGTGACGCTGGCCGCGGAGGGGTCGGTGGACCCCACAGTGGCACGTGTGGTGCCGCACTACAACGGGGTACTGGACTGGCTGGAGAGGAAGCTGGCAGCGGCGAAGGCGGGGTCGGTGATGGCACGTTGCGTGTCCTTGGCGTTGGAGAAGATGCTCACCTACTTTCATTCCAGCAGCAATGACCTCAACATGGCCACATTCCTGGACCCCGCCCTGAAGTGGGTGTGGTTCGAGCGGCCGATGGTGAAAGGCACCACGAGGGTGGTGGAGGAGCTGGATGCCGGCGAGGTGGAGGAGTTGGTGCGCGCAAGGTGGGAGAAGTACAAGAAAAAGGTGGATGAGGAGGCGGCTGAGAAGGCAGGGGCGACGGAGGGAGAGGGTGGCGGCAGCGGGAATGGAGGGGAGGAGAGGGAGTCAGATGAGGAGGACTTGGGTGTGTTCACTCACCTGGCATCGGTGCGGGCCGCACAGATCCCATCCGTGCAGGATGAGATCCAGCTGTACCTGGCGCTCTCTCTGGCGGAACTGCACCAATGCCCCTTGCAGTTCTGGAAAGTCCACACTGAGCTTCCAGCGTTGCAGCGCATGGCTCGGGATTACCTCGCCATCCTGGCCACCTCTGCACCCTGCGAGCGCTTGTTCTCACTGGGCCGCAACCTCATCCACTGGCACTGCTACCGCCTGGGGGCAGAGCGAATCAGCGCTTGCATGATGCTGAAGTCATGGATAGCCTCTCACCCAGGACAGCGGCTGGATGGCGCGCTGACGGCGGCCAATGGAGAGACGCTAGACTAGGGAGCTGGGCCTTGAGATCGGTCTAGATTGTGAGGGCATGTAGAGGGGTTTGTGTTGGCTAGGAGGTTGACAGGTAGTGACATTGTGCTACACCCCTGGCTATGTTGCAGCACTGTTGCTTGCTTCCTCCCTTGGCCCCCCCTCCCCTCCCCTCCCTTTCCCATCCAACGTGGTGCTACGAAAGTCGGGCCCCTATACCACGGGGGCTCGCACTTGCCCTAAACCCAAAACTGAGCAGAAATATTTATCTGAACTACCGCCCACAATTGCCCGTGATGGAAAATCCCATCGGTGTTGTTTTTCCGGTTTTCTGAGGTGTTTTATAATTTAACTAAACTGCGAGCAATATAAAACCGCATCGCGCAATTTAAAAAAACACCGCATGCGGTTTAAATAATCATTGAGTTGAAAATGCGATGTGCGATTTATTTTTTTCAAAAAAGCAAATAGCGCGACGCGATTTTAAAACCATTGGCTAAAATAGCATTGGGGGGGCTTTAAGAGCGCCGTTCTTGAAGATGGCTCTTTTGAAAAAAAAACGGGTTCCCAGCACGATTTTGCGAGGTGCGTTTTTGGGCAGCTGAACAATGACAGAAACGCAGTGGCGCCGATTTGACGCATGTGCGACGAGGCGGGAAACACGCGCGCGACTCATTTGACTTTTCGCCAACTTGGTGAAACGAAAAAAAAACCTACTGTACCTCGGAAGTATTCGGCGTACGTGTTAAGGCTTCACATTACGAAGCTCCCTCGACCGCAACTCGCGACTAGGGTAAAGGTGAACTGTGCGACGTGTGTGCCAAACAGCCATATGGGTTGCGCGAAATGCGACCCAGGTAAACCTCGGGTTAAAAACCTATTGCACACCCATGGAGCTCTTGTAAAAACTGAGCTGTGTGAGCGGTCAGTCGCAACTTGATCCGCCGAGCATCTGACGCCAAATCAATCGCCGCGTACCAATAACGTAGCAAAGCTACTTCGCATTACAGACAATTTCGGGTCCCATACCATTTCGGAAATAGAAAATGCACCAAAGAGTCTGCCCCAAAACGAAACATTTTTTCAAGAGATCCGCATGCGTGCTTTCTAGCCTGTGGTTTTAAATCGCAGCGCTTTTTTTTTTTTTTTATCGCGCCCCTATGTGATGCGATTTAATTCGCAATCGCACTTTGATCATGTTTACGGCTCACCTGGGTCATGCCGGCTCACCTGGGTATAGACATGGGCACAAGCCGAGCCACATCCGGCTCGGCTCGGCTCGGCTCGGTCGAGCCAGCCGGCTCGGCTCGGTCGAGCTAGCCAGCTCGACTCGGCTCGTACACGATGTCCTCGTCGAGCCGGGGTCGAGCCGGCTCGTCCCCGGCTCGATTTCGAGCCAGGTGGCTCGCCACTCGATTATAAGGGTAAAATTTCCCCCTCGACAAAACGTGTCTCCCATTTCTCTCTCCCGCCAACAACTCCTGGTCTATGTTCCCGCAAACGCTCTGGCGGTGCAGCGTTTAGCGTTCAAACGCTGCGTTTAAACGGTAAACGCTAAACGCCCACCCAAAATGTTTGTCGCGGAATTCTTTCCCGCGACATTGCGACCTGGCGAATTCAACCAGTCGCAAAACCCATCCAACCGTTTTGCCTCGCTCAACTGCACTGCACACTATTGCATTTACAACTTCCAACCTAACCTCTAACACCCTTCTTCCTCCTCACAATCTACTTCCGCGAACCCTAGAATTCTGCGCGCCTAGGAGTATCTCACTAGGTTAGTTCGCGCGAGAAATCTTAAGCAGCCCCCGCCACTCTTAAAAACGCGTGCTTGCATAGGCTCCAGCGCGCACTACTGTTGGCTTAAGCGCGTGCTAGGCGAGCCGAGCCGAGCCGAGCCGGCTTGCCGTCAAGCCAGCCCTGGCTCGCCCATAGAAATGCGAGCCGAGCCAGGTATGTTTGGTGCCCGGCTCGACTCGAGCCGAGCCAGGCTCGACGGCGAGCCGGCTCGGCTCGACCCCTGGACGAGCCGAGCCGAGCCAGGCTCTGCTCATGCCCATGTCTACCTGGGTCATGCCGGCTCACCTGGGTCATGGCGGCTCACATGGGTCATGGCGGCTCAATTGGGACATGCCGGCTCACCTGGGTCATGGCGGCTCACCTGGGTCATGGCGGCTCACCAGGATCATGCTGGCTCACCTGGGCCATGCCGGCTCACCTGGGTCATGCCGGCTCACTCACCTGGGTCATGGCGGCTCACCTGGGTCATGGCGGCTCACCTGGGTCATGGCGGCTCACCTGGGTCACGGCGGCTCACTTGGGTCATGCCAACTCACCTGGGTCATGCCGGCTCACCTAGGTCATGCCGGCTCACCTGGGTCATGCCGGCTCACCTGGGTCATGCCGGCTCACCTGGGTCATGGCGGGCTGTGCGGTGGCGAAGGTGAAGGCCGCTCGGCCCAGCGGCAGAGCGACGGTGCGATACGCCAACTGCCACAAACGAGCCTGGGGGGGGGGAGTGGAGAAAAGAACGATGGGTGGCGACGTAATGGGGACACGGGAGGGAGAAGGGCGGATGGAACTGTGCATAGAGCTTTCCACACGGCCATAAGGCGTTCGCAACATCGAGGTGCACCAGACTTACATGGTGGGCGGCGAGAGTCACCTGGTGGGCGGCGAGAGCATCGGGGTCGGTGGAGTCGGAAGCAGCGGAGCCCGTGAGAGGAACGGGGCGTGACGAGCACAGCAGGGCACGCACCTGAGGGACAGGGGGGAGGGGGGTGGTTGAGTGGGTGGGGAGGGGGGAAGTCGGGAAAGAGATGTGGGGGGTGTGAGTGTGGTTGGAGCTAAGGAGACTGCACTAGAACTTGGGAGGAGGCCAGGGAACTGAGATAGGAAGAGGTTAGGACCTCAAAATATGTACCACCATCCCTAGCTAGCATTGCTCCACCATCTATTTCACACCCTTGTAGCCTTAGTCACAAGGAACCCCTACAAAATAGTGTGCTGTCGCATGACATGACACCCAGCGCGCTGACCTCAGCGAGTCGCAGATCGCTTGGAAATCGCAGCGCCACCACGGAGCGGGCGGGCGGCAGCAGCAGGTGCTCCATGCCATCCGCCACGCCGCCCTCCCCCCCTGCCCCGTCCACCGCCCCCCCACCTCCGCCCAGCCCCGCACCTGATGCTCCCCCCACCCCCACCCCGCTGCCCCCCCCTGCCCCCATGGCGCCCACCCCTGCTGCCCCTGAGGCGGACGCCAGGCCTTGAGAGGCGTCGGACCAGGGCACGGCGAGGGAGGCGTGCAGGGCGGGGTGGGGGGAGGCGGGGAAGGGGGAGAGAGGGCGGATGAGCACGCTGGGGGGAAAGGAGAAGGAGAAGGGCGAGAGGGAGTGGGGGGGTGCAACGGGAGGACGCAGGGGCGAGGGGGTGAGGAGCGACGGCTCGGCTGGCGGCTGTGAGCGTGCTTCAGCCCCCACCGGCTCGACTTCCCCCGCAGCAGCAGCAGCAGCAGCAGCAGCAGCAGGCGCGGGGCCACTGCCCTCCGCAGCGCCCCTGTGGTGAGGGCGTGTGGCGGGGGATGGGGATGGCAGCGAATGGCGGAGGGAGAAGCAGCGCGGGCACGTGGTGGCGGTGGCAGCAAGGTCGTCCCGCCCCACCAGCATGTAGCCCGCTGCAGGCCAGTGGGGAGGCGGGCTGTCCCTGCACTCGTGGAGCGCCTGCACGCATGGGGAGGGGGGGATTGGAAAGAGGAACAGAGAGATGAGTCAGCACAGGTGGGAAAGAAGTAAGGGGCAGAAGAAAGCTAGCGGAGTACAAAGAGGGAGGACGAGGAGGGAGGACGAGGAGGGAGGACGAGGAGGGAGGACAAGAAGGGAGGACGAGGAGGGAGGACGAGGAGGGAGGACAAGAAGGGAGGACGAGGAGGGAGGACGAGAAGGGAGGACGAGGAGGGAGGACGAGGAGAATTGCACCTGCAGCAAGGGCAGGGCGACCCCGGGAGGGAGCCTCTGGAGGTCCTGACGACCCACGCCTGCCGCCACCATACCCGCCACACACCGCTCACTGCGCTCCACGACTCCGCCCCCGCCCCCTGCTGCTGCTGCCTTGGTCCATCCGTTGTCCGTCTCCGCCTCTTGTGCACCTTGCTCCCGCCCCACCCCTACCTGCTCGTCTCTCGCCGTCACCCCCTTGCCACCCACTCTCATGGAAGCGCTGCCTTGCCTCCACGCCCCGCGGGGGAAGAGCGCAGAGAAGAGAGCAACCACCACTGCCAGCAGACTAACCGCACCTTCCCCATCCGTCTCCCACTCATCCCACCACGCCCCTTCTTGCACCCCCTCACACTCTCCCACACCCGCACCCCGCCCTTGAACGTGCCCCGTCGCCCTCCCCAGGCACGAGGAGGGCATCCACGCCAGCCAGGGGGCCGCATGCTCTGGCCCGTACTGGGCGGTGAGAGCCAACCAGGTGAAGACACATGGCACAACGGACGGCAGCGGAGGGTGGGAGGGCTGCGGGTTCTGTGAGGCCGTCCCGGGGAGGAGGCAGCGCAGCAGAGGGAGAAAGGCGTGCGAGGGGGCAGGGGTGATGGAGGGCGCGAGAGGGGAGGTGAGGAGGTGGGGGAAGTGGGGGGCGAGGAGGGCGAGGTGGGGGTGGTCCCTCTGGTAGTGGTCACACAGGTCGGGCAGCCCCAGCACCGCCGCCAGCACCCACAGCACTGCCGCCAGGCGAGGCAAAGAGCTGAAAAGGGGGGAGGGGGTTGTGGATGGGGCACGCATGGAAGGCACGCATGGGGAAACAAGGATGCGGAGGAGGGGACGGAAGAACGACAAGAATACTGGTCTGGGAGACAGACGGGAAGATCAAATGAGAGGCTGCGCACTTGCAAGTTGCAAGAAGAGCAGTGGTGTGAGATGAACGAGAAATGTGAGAGGAAAGGGAAGAAGCGGCGACTGAAGATGGAGCACAGACGGATGTGGTGAGCAGCGCACCTGCCCCACAGCGCGTCCACGCGGCCGCCCTCATACACGCCGTGCAGCACCTGCAGCAGCGCCACCAGGTCGCCCACCGCCATTCCCACCCCGCCCTCGCCCTGCCACCCGCCCACCTGCACGCCCTTCCACGCCCTCACCGCCTCCCTGCGAGGATGGCGAGGAGGAGGAGGAGCGGACAGGGTGGTGGAGGGCGAGGGGAGGGGGAATGGCAGCCAGGGGGGGGCGCCGGAGAGCAGCAGCTGCCGATGCTGCTGGCTGCTCAGCAGACCCTCCCACGCTGAAGTGCCCGCCTCTCCCTTCTCCTCCTCTCCTCTCTCTGACCCCCACCCACCCCCGCTCTCCTGCTGCTCATCCACGTCCATTGCCTCCGCGCCCTGCTCCCCCCCTCTCGCCCCTCCGTGCGTGCCACCATCAGTGCGAACAGCACCGCCCCTCACGGCCTTCTCAACCCACTCTTCCAGCACAGCCAGCAGTGTGCCCCACTCCTCCCCCTCCCCTCCCCCCGCGCCGCCGCCAGCATGGCCATTAGCCCCGTGAGCGGCGCCCACCAGCGCGCACAGCCGCACCAGCGGCACCTCCAGCCCTCCCCCCGCTGCTGCCCGCCCCCTCTGCTGCCGCTGCTGCCGCCAGAGGCGTGGGGCGAGCAGCGCGCAGCGCAGGGCGTGGGAGAGGCGGCGGGGGAAAGCGCTCGCACCAATGGCAGCGAGACACCTGGCAGGCAGGGAGGAGGCGACCGCTAGCTTGACCTGAAAGCGGTGCACCTGGTGGCGTGGAGGGGGGAAAGGGAAACTGGGGTGATGGTAATGATAGGAGAGTGAGGTGGAGGAAAGGAGACGCTTCGCGTTGCAAGAGAAGCGAGTGCGCTGAAAGAGAGGGCGGGAGGGCGTCACCTTGCTGCTGGGGAGGGCGATGGACACACGGTCTCCCAGGGGGTCACACAGGCGCAGGGGACACGTGGCAAGCTCTGACTGGTCAAAGGTGATGCCGTGGTGGGCGAGGAAGGTGGAGCAGGGCGCCTTCCACAGCAGCCGAGGGCCGTGCTGGGGGGGGGGAGTGGGAGGGGAGAGGGGGGAGGGGACGGGCGAGGAGGAAGAGTAAGCACGCTGGTGATGGAGGGATTGGGAGAGAGGAGAGAGGCAGGTTGGGTGGGTGCAAAGTGTGTGCAGTGCGTGCTCCGCATGGATTCAGTCAACTGCTGCACCGCTGCGCCATGTATCATTACGGAAATTCTTGTGCTGTATGGCTCCGTGTTTGTTGCGGTGTGCTCCTGGGCGTCCATGGGGCATGATGCACGGTGTGTAGTGGTGTCCCGCCAAAGCAGCATGGAACATGAACAGTACCATACCATGAGCACGAGCGAGCCTTGGGGGTCCAGTAGAAGCAGAAAGCGGTTGATGCGGTGCAGAGCGGTGCTGGAAGATGTGTTGCTGGGAAGCGAACACGTGTGAATGCCACGGTGCACGCCGCAAAGAAAGGGGCCGGGACGCAGAAAAGGGAGGAAAAAGGACGGATTTAAAGAGGAGAAAGCACATTCTGCTGCACATATTCTGGTGGGCCATGAAAGCTGCTGTCAGCTGAGGCACACATGCAGCAAGTGAGGGGCCTTGGTTGGAGTTGCCGGTCGGCCGTGGAAGAGCAGCATCTCGCAGATCGCAGAGGACCGTCATCCCGGCTGCATGAGTTGTTCCGAGGCACTCAACACGAAACGGCATTCAAGCATGATGCGTGAAAGGAGAATGGAAGATGCGCTGCTGGAGAGAGCCATCAGTTGAACGCCCCCGCTGCCACTTTTAACAGCACCTTCTAAGGATTGCCGGGAATGCCACTCACTCCAGAGCAACAGCACAGGCAGCAGCCACCGACCAGCAACCCGGCCCCTCCGTGTGCCCCTCCGTGTGCTCCTCCGTGTGCCCCTCCGTGTGCCCCTCGGTGTGCGCCACCGGTGCCGCCACGCCTGCCACTGCATGCCCCACTCCCTCCAGCCCACCCCCTCCCGTCTGCTCGCCCTCATACATGGGGCTCCCTCCACGCCCATCCCTGCTGCTCTCAGCACACCTCTCCCCCCCCCTCGTGACACCGCCCTGCCTTCCCGCATCCCCACTTCTCCCCCTCACGCCCTTCCCAAAAGCCCTTCGTCCCTCTTCCTCTTCCACCGCCTCCGCGTTCCCTTTCGGCCCCCCCCCATACGCCACGCGCCGCACAAGCACGCGCTGGGCGGCAGGCGAGCAGAAGGCGAGGGTGGCGGTGGCACAGGGGGGCGAGGGGGTGAGGAGAGAGGCCACGGTGGGGGGGAGAGAGGAGCGGTGGGGGCAGGGCAAGGAGGAGGGGGGGGAGGAAGTGGAGGGGAGCAGAACATGCGAGAGCAACAGGACGTTTGAGGCCTTCTCAACGCCCTTGAGGCCGCGCCACACGGGAGCCATGTGCACGCACCAACCACCACCCTCCACATCCCACCTCGCCTCTCCCTCCTTTCTACCATCGGCACTCAAACTCCTCGGCTCCCCTCCTCCACCCTCTTTATGCCCCTCCACGAATCTTGGTGTGGTCCCAGCCTTGCCCCCCCCTCTTCCCCCCATGCCTCCACCACGGCCCGCATCATCCCGCCCCACCGCAAACCCACTCAACCTCGCTCCCCCCGTGCTTGACCCTCCTCCTCTCCCCCCTCCCCTCGCTTGCCGTCCCCCACTCCCCACAGTGCCCCCCCCACGCACTCTCCCCTGCTGCTGCCTCAAATCACCCACCACGCCTCCATCCTCACCCACACGCCCCACGCTCCCTCCCCCCACCCCGCCCTCTCTCACTACCGCCCCCCCGGCAGCAGGCATTGGAGAAACACGGCCCAAGGAAGCATGCAAAGGGTCCTGCTCTGCTGCTGACGTGGCGTAAGGTGGGTGGCGCGGGGAGCGGTCGGGGTCGGGGTGGTAGCACAGGTGCCACACGGAGTGCTGGCGATGGGCTGGGGGGCGGGGAGGAGGGACGGGGGTAGAGGGGAAGCAGTGGGACGGACAGGGGGACGGGGGAGAGGAAGCAAGGTGCGAGGAGAACCGGAGGCGCTTGAATGACGGCGGGCAGACGCCGTGAGAGCAGAGGCGGCGAGAGGCAAGGCGCTGTGCAGTGAGGTGAGGTGTAGGAGATGAAGAAACGCAGCTGCGGGTGAGAGTAGGATAGAAGCACGGGGCGCAAGGAGCAGCACGGGGCACAAGGAGCAGCACGGGGCGCAAGGAGCAGCACGGGGCGCAAGGAGCAGCACGGGGCGCAAGGAGCAGCACGGGGCGCAAGGAGCAGCACGGGGCGCAAGGAGCAGCACGGGGCGCAAGGAGCAGCACGGGGCTCACTGTGGTTGAAGGTGGCAAGGAGGGGAACCTCCGTGGACGACCACACGACCTCCTCCCCTGCGCTGTGCAGCGCAGCAAGCGACGCCGGCACACGAACAGGCTGGGGGTGGACGATAGAGGGAGAGACAGAGAGGAGGGGCTTGGGCAGGGGGGCGGATGCAGGGAAGCGTGGTGAAAGGGTGATAAAGCAATGGAGAGAAAAAGAGAGGGAGATATGTAGAAAAGAAGACTCGATGTGCATAGCTGTAAGATGCACAAGTTGGAGATGGTAAAGATAGGTTCCAAGAGGAGTCCCAGAAAGTGTAAGACAAAAGGGGTTAATAAAGATGACAAAGACATTGGGCTAAGTAGGCCCAGATTGTGGTGAAGAGAGAGATGGAGAAGTTCTGGGCGACTTGGGCTGGTCCAGGTGAGGAGAATGGCACCCAAGAGACTTGGGGTGCCCAATTGGGTGCTCAAGTCGCCCACAGTCAAGGTGGGGACGTGAGGAACCCTCAAAGTGGGCCTGGAAGCGCCCCCACTAGTGGAACCGCGATTCCACAAGTTGGATTCGTGGTTCCACACGCTGGAGCCGCGTTTTCATGGTTGAGAAACGTGGGTCCAGGTTGGAGCCGCGTCCCAAATGTTGGGATGCGTGGTGAGGTACCCCAATTCGGATTTTGGGGTGCCTAGCCTTTGATAAAATCACTTGGGGGGCACCCTATTCCTAATATAACCCAACCACTAATGTCTACACCTAATATAATGTAACACATTAGAGTCCATGGGGGTATGGCTGGGGTTGGAATGGGAGAGCGAATAGGTGGATAGGAGCGCAGCAATAAATTTGGACTGGTGGGCATGGAGAGTGCGGGAAGAGCGGTCGCGGTCTAGGTGGAGGCCGAGGTAATAGGTGAGGGGGCCGAGGTCACGGAGTTTAAAGTGACTGGCCAGAGACGTCTTGAAGGTGGTAAGGGGTGCAAGAGTGGTAGATAGGATGATAAGGTCGTCCACGTAGACAAGGACGAAGAAGAAGTGGGATGGATGAGGGAGGAGAGGTGAAGAGGAGGCGGCGATGAAGAGGCCAGGGTCAGCGTCGAAGGTGTGAAGGCCAAAGGAGAGAAGCTCCTCTTTCAGCTTTTTGTACCAGCAGCGGGGCGCTTGTTTGAGGCCATATAGGGGCTTGTGCAGCAAACAAACTTGAGGAGAGCCATCAGGAGCAGTGAGCTCGAAGCCGGGGGGTTGAGTCATGTAGATGAGCTCGTCAAGATCACCGTTGAGAAAGGCATTGGAGATGTCGAGCTGATGCATCTCAAGATCAAGAGCGGCAGCAAGGGTGAGGAGCAAGCGGAGCGTGGCAAAGCGAATGGTAGGTGCAAAAGTCTCTGTGTAGTCGATGCCTTCACGTTGCTTGAAGCCTTTGACCACCAAGCGAGCCTTATAACGCTCAATGGACCCATCTGGGTTTTCTTTGACCTTGAACACCCACTTGCAAGGTATGGGGGTGCAGCCGGGTGGCGTGGGCACAATGCTGTAAGTGCTGTTGGCGAGGAGAGCAGCGATTTCGGCATCAGCAGCGGCTAGCCAGTGGGGAGCAGCAGGGCAATAACGGGCGGCTATGATGGTAGCGGGCTCATAGTGGGAATGAAGGGCTATGTGTGCAAAATCGTGAAGGAAATGGGTGGACGCGCGATCTTCAGCAAGGATGGTTCGAGAGGAAGGATCGGGAAAGGTGAGGTGAAAGTCTTGGGCGTCTGGTGATGGAAGATATGGTAAGGGAAGGGGTGAGGAAGAAGGTAGAGAGGCGGGCTGGAGGAAGGATGGAAGCGTGTAAGGCTGAAGGGGTGGGGTGGGGAGGGCGGGGAAGGGAGATGCAGCGGGAGTGGAAGTGGGAGAGATAGCTCCGGGAGGTGGAGGAGGCGGGTGCGAGGTGGCAGGGGTGATGGAAGTGGTAGGCTGGGAAGACGGGTGAAGGGGAAAAGATATGGTGGTGGAGTGGGGGCGGAGGGTGGGGGTGGTGACGGTTGCGGAGAAGGAGGTGGTGAAGGGGATGTTTCAAGGAAAGTGACATCGCGGGAGTAGACCACGCGGCGAAGGGAAGGGACGTAAATGCGATATGCTTTGTAACCGTCAAGGACTCCATAGCCAAGTAAGACGCCCGCGGCGCTACGGTCATGTAATTTAGAAGGCCGCTGAAGAGAAGGTAGAAGCACAGAAACGGAGCAGCCAAACACGCGAAAGTGCGTGACATCCGGCCGCTGACCGGTCCACAGCTCCATAGGGGTGACGGAACGAGGGAGCGAACGGGAGGGAGAGTGATTCCGAATGTAGGCAGCGGTGAGGGCCGCTTCTCCCCACCAACCACAAGGAAGGCCGCTATCATGTAGCATGCACCGCACCATGTCCAGGATGGTGCGGTTCAGCCGCTCCGCGAAGCCATTCTGCTGCGGAGTATATGGGGCTGAAACCCGCCGGGTGATGCCATGCGAATCGAGGAAAGTCTGAAAAGTTTTGGAAAGATACTCCGGGGCACCTTCTGATTGCAACGCCTTCAGGCGCGTGTTACGTTGGCGTTCAACAGTAACGAGATAGCGCTGAAAGGTGGAGAGGACGGCAGAGCGCGATTTGAGGAGGTAGATGGTGGTAAAGCGGCTGAAGTCGTCAATGAAGGTGACGATATAGGTGGCGCCGCCAAAGGTGGTGCCAATGGGAAAGGGACCAGCGACATCCGTGTGAACGAGGTCAAGCGGGGCAGAGGAGGAGGAGATGGAAGGTGGGAACGGTTGGCGAGTCTGCTTCCCACGAAGGCACGAAGTGCAATTGGAAGGGAGGGAACCCTGGAGTTGGAGACCGCTGACCATCCGTTCCGAGTGAAGTTGCTGCAAGCTGGGGCCGTTGAGATGCCCAAAGCGTCGATGCCAAAGGAGAGTAGCGGCAGCAGAACACGATGCTGGAACAAGTGGAAACGGGGTCGACACCGTAGAAGCCGTAGCTTGCGGGGTTAAGGCAGCAGGGCTGAGAGAAATGAAAAACAATTTCATATCCTCGTAGGCAACAGCAAGAAGGGTGGACCCCTTGAACAGTTGGGCTGGAGCATGAAGGGGAAAGTGGGTGGTGAGACCCTCTTCCTTTAGTTTGCGCACTGAGATGATGTTGTGAATGGTTTGAGGAATATAGAGGACATCGTGGAGGGTAACAGGATGCGTATGGTTCTCGTGACGAGCATAGAGGATGATATCACCAATGCCTTGGGCAAGATACTGTTCACTGCCGCCAAATCTAACGCCACTACCAGGGGACGGCCGGTGGAGGGAAGAGAATAGATGAGGATTATTGCATAGATGGGATGAAGCGCCGGAGTCAAGGAGCCAGGAGGAGGGGGAGGAGGAATGGGAGCTGGTGAAGGCGGAGGCTAGAGGGCGCTGAAACATAATGGAGAAAAGGAAGAGAAGGAGGGAGAGGAGCACAAAGAGCGAGGGAAGGAATGGGAGCGACGGCAGCCAAGAGGCAGGGAGTAAGTGAGCGGTAGCGACATCAGCATAGCGAGGGTCAAGTGGAGAAGACATCAATGCCGTGGACAAAGGAGGAGTGGCAGGTGTCGGGGAAGTGGGGTCGTAGCTAGGAGAGGGGAGGATGGGCTGGGCAGAGTGGGCAGAATAAGGCAGAGGGGAGTGCGTGGATGCCTTGTTGGGCGAGCTGGATGTGTGAGAACGGAAGTTGAACTGCTGCTGCTGCTGTTGGTATGGCTGGTGGTGCTGCTGCTCGTGCAGGTGTGGCTGCTGCTGCTGCTGCTGCTGCTGTCGCCGTTTCTTCTTCTCGAGTTGTGGGCAGTTGGTGATGGCATGACCAGCGGCCTTGCAA